TCTTTATTCACCACCAGGCCTCCTCACAGGCTAGAGTAAATGAGAAGACTTCACAGAAAGATCAGTGCTTCTAGGATGAATTACAAGGTAGAGGGAGAATTTTTAAAAAGAAAACTGCATAGGTAAATATATCTTTCCTATAGTCCAAGCAAAAAGCATTTAGGAATTTAAACCTTGACTACAAGTCACCTTATGGTGGTTCCCATTTCCTAACTTTACTCAAAGAAGGAGAGCTCATTTTTTTCTTATCATTCATTTTATTAACAACAATTATTTATTGGACTCTATGTCAGTTAGTGTTCCACATCTTAGAATACAACTATGAACCTCTCTCTCCACTTGAGAAAGCTCACAAACTACTTATGGAAATCAGAAGGCCCCAGCACACATTTCCGTTTCATAGCAGTAAATTTAACAAATACCGTTATTCTGTCTAAAGACTCTGTAGTCTAAAGACTTCCAAAATTCATCTCCAGTAGGTAGTCCTTGGTAGTCTTCAGCACTCCAAGTGTTTAAGAACAATTCGTAGTTGTGTGTGAGCACTTCAAAATATCCACCCAGGGTTCCAGAGTAGCAGTCGGTGTGAGTTTTAGGCTTGCATGTTATAGTTTTCTGAGTGTGTAAGGAGTACTCTTGGAACACACACACACACACACACACTCTCCCAAGGAACAAACATTAGCTCTCAGAGATATAACAGTCCAATGAGGAAGGGAAGCATATTCCTAAGTGCCCACTCCTCTTATTTGTAAATTGTTTCTTTCATAATGGAGACTGAACTTTGTTATTATGCTGGGGGAAGAAAGTGTTTAATAGTTGAGACTTATATTTCGTAATACCACTTAGCTAAATAAGTATACAGCCAAATCTCTAAAATTTTCAGTTGAAAAGTCCTTTCAAATTTTTAGACAAGCAGTATTCTCAAGTCTCAAATTTGAGTGTGGTTGTCTGCGTGAGAGGAGGTGGGGGAAACTTTCTCACTTACAAGTATGTGGTGAAGCAGGGGAGCATTTGACGAGGGCTTTAACTGTACTTTGCTGAATTTGATATGGAGTGGGCACATTTTAGGAAGGAAATAGTTGAGGAGGCAGAGGGGCAAGGTAGAAGCAGGCAACTGCATTTTTTTCTGTGAGCACAAAGTTCTTACTTTAAGTTTAAATTACATTAGACTTGGGATGCAGTAAGGTAAGTGTAGTAAGCTTCACTTAGAGAAATCAGCTAGGCTTTCTTTCTGCCAGGTTGTGCAACTCCAGGCGCACCATTCACATGGCGTTTTATGTGAAGAGCATCTCTTGGAGCACAGTGCCATTTACATGGATTACAATGTGAATGATGCCTCCTGGAGTTGAACAACACAGCTGGTAGTGGCAGAAGACTTTGTAATAGTAATAATTTTAATTTTCATATAAATTATTTGTAATTTTATTTTTTTTGGAGAGTCATCCAGAATCAACTTTATCCTTCAGCTCATACTAAGTCAAAGTCTTTTCTCAGAATTTTCGTAGTACTCTGCACTACCATCAAAAGTTAGTCTACTTATCAGTTTCCCCTATTAGCTCTAAGCTCTGGATCTCTTTGATCCCTGTCCCAATAGTTCCAAGGACTGTGTCTGGCACAAAAGAAGTGTTCAATAAATGCTTCCTGAGTTAAAAGTAAATTATTCTCCGTGAGATATGCCCAATTGCCTTGCACTTCTTTCTTCCTAATTTTAATTTGTTGTCAATTTAGTTCACAGAGAATGCACTGTGCTCCTATTTATTAAATTAAATATCTGCTTGAAGTAGCATATTAAAAATTAAGCTTAGTTAAATCTCAATTTCCCATGATCATTATATAAGTTGCTCATTGCTGCATCTCATATTAACTTGGTTCAATGGTTAGATAGCAATTAACATGAATGCTTAATGACCACTTTCTTATTCTGATATATTACTAATGATACTTACAGTTTAAAGTGCTTTAGGGTTAATTATAAATGCTCATAATTTGCTTACCCTTCTGACTGATAGTACATTCTTATGCCTAAGAATATGATAAGTACTCTAGACCTGTGTAGGAAGAATTCTGGTCTGCAGAGGCTCAGCAATCAACATTATTAACCCTTCAGTTATCTTAAATCACCTAAACTATTCCTGGAATTTCTACTTTATTATCAATGATGCAAAAAGAGATTTCTTTAAAGTGTGGCCTATGTCTGAGTGTTTTGTGACAACGGAAAATAAGATATTGTCTTGAGCAACTATTACAGTCTTAACCACAGGAATTTATGGGATGAGGCAATGGATCTCTCCTTTTTTTTCCTCTCTCGCCCCCTTTCAATTTGCCTACACCCATGCTGCTTCTTTGGAGACCATTTAAATATATTGCTTTCTTCTGGATGATTCTCTGATTCTAAAGCAGCAGGTAGTCAGTGGATGCAGATCATACAGAACAAGTCATTAGACAAAATTTCTCTCTTACAATATGATGTGAATGTCCAGATGTAATAATGTACCCACCCTAGGCCTTTTTTATATTCTCACATATTCTTCATTCATATTATAAAAAGCTGAAGTGAAGCTATGTGGTTAAATTGCTTTTACCATTTCACACATTTAACATTCTTTATAAATATTCCTATGAATATGCCCAAGTTAAATTATAAGGTTTCCAGTCTTCCAGACCATAACCGAGTATCGTGTTTCTTTTCTGTTTTCCCACAACAAAGAGTACAGTGTCTATGGTGAATACTCTATGATTATTATGAACATATTATTTAGGTAAAAAGAGTATGTATTTTAACTTGTTGAATTATTTAGCCTATCTAATCATTCTAGAATTAAGATAATAACTGTCACATGCAAAAGAAAACTAGAATGCAGTTGACATTTTATAATACTACTTCAGCAGGTATAGCCAAAAGTTGAAAAGCTTTTTTCATGGTGAGGTGTTGATAGCAGTTCCGCAAAACAGTTCAAAAAGATGATTTGCACAAGCCAACTTTAGGGAACACGTCTAAGATCAAGAGGAGCAGGCAGGCACCTCATACTTGAGCAAATAAATTTACAAGTCAAAAAATTAGAGAGTCAGAAAGATCTTAGTTGTTCTCGGATTTTAAAATTCTCTAGAATATTGCACTGAATCCAACTCAAATAAAAAATGATAGTAATCCTCATCGTATGGCTCTTCCATGCCTACTTCAGTACTTATAATATAGTAAGGGCTCAACAAATACTTATGGTTTAGTATTGACTGAATAAGGAGGAACATAGCTATGATGATCACCACCACAAAAGCGTGCTGCCAATGAAATTAAACTGTCTTATTCAGTCTCAGAAACTGAATGGGAAATACGAAGTTGGCTGCCTTTAAAATCCTATTCCAGAATGGGTATTGATAATATCACAATTTTGTAGGCCACTTTATTATGCTTTTTATTCATGCCTGAATTCAATATTTTATTTTAAGTACTAAAGTGATGTTTAATTATAGAGTTAAAATTTTTTTAAAAATAGGCAAATGACTTACAAGTAGAACATTTGTTTATACTTGATTAAACTATTTTGGTCATTATGTATCATTTCACTCCTTGCCTTTGAATAAAGATACTCATTTTCATTTACTCTTAGCACACTTCAAGAAATGTAATTAAAAGCTGATGAGTAACCAAGATACTGTATACTGAGAATGCAGAAATATTTACTTTCTGTGGAGTGCAAATTAGTTGGATATGCAGATTTTGTATAACATAGATAAGAATTTTCAATAAAATCTCAAGCAATATGTTCAAAAAGGCAAGCATTAATAATTTGTTGCTCTTTCAAACGGTTGTTTTTAAGCTCCCCTCACCATTTCCCTCCATGTCGAATGAATGACTCACCCGTATGAGATTGCCAGTCTCATTAAGAAATCCATTCCATTGAGTATCTTAGACTTAATTTTTATGAAAGTTTTTTTTTTATAATTTCCCTATTTACATTGCTCAGATCCATTTAACTTGAGTGTTTTGTCATTTAGAGTAATAACTCATCAATCCGTTAGTGCAACCTTTCTTTATGTTACTTTTCTTAGAGCTATGAAATGTGCTATTTTGAATCCCTAAAATATTATAAACCACCAGATTGCTAATTGCTTTAGATGCTGTGAAAAATAATTACTCCACATTATTTCTGATATTTAATTGACAGTGTAATGCATTTAACTAAAGACCTGCAATAAACTATTTCTAATTACGGAGGGTGGTGGAGTGGAAAAGTAGGCTGTAAAACTTTACAAAGGAAGCAGTCTTTTCTCCATTAAGTTAAAAGGCATTGTTGATATAACTTTTTCAGAGACAAGGAAAAAAAAAAACATTCCCCCAAATGAGAAGTTCTGGAAAGCTGGAAAGAGTTGTGGAATATTTTTACTCATGATAGAGTAAGGAGATTTGTTAAATTATTATTTTTGAGTAGACTATACTGGTGATGGATGTCATATACTAAATTTACTGTGCTTGCAGTAAAATTTCTCCTCTAGTTGGCAGAACTTTATGAAGGAGATAATCATGCTGCTGCCAGAATGAGTAATCTTTATCCCTGGCCTGTGTTCAATTTATTCTGCATGTGTAGAGCATTCAGTTGAAGATCTGTGCCAAATTTTAGATGTCATTGAAATATGTAGATATATCAGGAACTAGATCTGTTCTTAGCTCCCAAGGTAAGATCTTCTTGTTATAAAATGATCCCTGAAAATGACACTTAGAACCTGTTGCAAGGAGTTCCCGTAGTCTAGAAGTGCCATAAATCGGGGTACAAAAGATGTTAGGCCTTTTGAAGAGAAGCATACTCTTTCCATTGTTCTGTGGCTCTGGGTTAATATTAATAATTGGCATATCCTTCTTTTCCCCTTATGACTCCTGGTTAAAATAAAATGTCTCCATTGGTATTTCATTAAATTGCTTATTTCATTTCAAATATGTACCTTTTCCAAAAACAGACGACTAAAATGAGTGACCTGTTTCAGGGAATGTAAATTGTTTTCAGCATTTCAGAAATTGAAAAGGGATAAGAGGAAGGAGAAAATGCTGGGCTGGTGTGAAGCGATAGCCCGTAACCCTCACAGAATCCCAAACAACACGCGAACACCCGAGATCTCAGGGGATTTGGCTGATGTCTCACAAACCTCCACATTGGTGAGTCAAAAGTTATTTTACCTCAAAATGGCTTGTATGTAAATGGGACACTAAGGAAATGGGAAGAGACATGGCTTTCTAAGTAAACATTATTCTTGTTTATAGTGATATTTGCAATGTATTATATTGTTCATTTAGATTGAGTTTAATTAATGGATATTAATAAAAATATCGTAATGTAATATAATATTTGAGTTTGATTCAGATTAAACGACAATTTGTTTTTCCTTCTATTTCTTTGGGCATTGCCCTTCCATTATGTTAGTGACCTTAAAGAGATATTTAAAGTTTATATCTTGCATTCTATACCTGTGTAATAGAGTCAGTGAAGGAAAATCAAGTACAGAGTTATCCAAAAATAATGAAAAATCAGAATCACAACTTCGGTATTTTCCTGTATATATTTAAAAACTGTCAGAAAAAAGGGTTCAAAAATTATAATTTTCATATAAAATTGTGAATTAAATAATTGCAAAAACGATTTGAAGACCAAATCAATAATATCCTCTTTTATGTTTTGTTTTCTGCTTTGGGTTTACATACTTGGCTTTTGCTAGCCGTTATTTCCCAGTGATCCGGAAAAGAGAGCTCATTAGCAAGAGGAGTTTTACACGTTCTTTGTTTAGATTTGGGCTGGAACATTCTTTGATTTTACTTAAGAAAAATTCCATTCAGTCTCTAAGTTTTAAATTGACGTTAGATATATTTTAATTATTGTTTTACCATTTTATACGAACACGTGTTTTCATTAGCCTCATTTGTTAGTTGATGAACATATAATTAAATATGAGCAAAGATTTTAGATATATCTTTTATTTTTGAGTTATGGGATAATTTCTATTATTTTTACGTAGAAATACTGATCCTGAGCAAACATTATTGAGTGAATATCAAGAGAAACCATCTAAAGGAAAGGCTTTTGGTTGACAAAACATAGAAATAGAAGTAGGAATCCTGCTTAAATTCTGTCATCTTAGATTGTGGGGAAGGGCAGAGGGTATGCAGAATGTGTGCAACATGACTGGATAGTCAATGTTCTCCGGGATAGATTCTTTGAAATTGTTATCTGCACTCTTTCATCTTACTCCAACATGATCTTTTGTGAGTTGTTATTTTCAATAAAACTGCTTGGCATGAGTTAACACCATTTAAACATGTGTGTTGCATAATATTTATATATAAAGCTGGACTTTCATAGATGTCATGCAAGCTAAAAATTTTAAGATAAAAAATTACTTCTGTGCTTTCATTAGAGTGGCTTTGGGGCTTAATTTCTATTTCATAGAACCATAGATCAAAACCATGAAGAATCTTGAGCAAACATTTGGCCTGGTTTTCTCCTATAATTGGGTAACCTAATATTAACTTCATTTTACAGATGTGTACTGTGACCCAGAGAAATTAATTTGCTTTGCCAGTGTCACTTCATTAGTAAATGATAAAAGGATTAGTAGAAGCCAGGCTTCTAAAGGCAAGACTTTTTCTACTACACCACACTGTCTCACTTTCTTAATGGTGTTTTCTTCCCATTCAAATACTTCTAGTGAAATAAAAAGGCATCAAGTTACCAATTTAATTAAATCTAGTAATTAATCTTTTCAAAGCTAATGCTGTAGTAAAGGAGTAACCTCCTGCCACTATAAGATAACCCCAAAATATCAGTTTCTATAACATGGAAAAATGAAATATGTCTATCTTATGACATGACCCATGTATCTTGGGCAGCTCTCCTTGGAGGTTCACTGCCAAATGACGATTCAAAGATACAGAATCTTTTCATCTTTTGATGCCATCTTCTTAAGTTCATGACCTCTTAGGTCACTGAGGAAAAGGGGAGAGACTTAGTGGGCCATCGTGTGTGGGCTATTATGGAACAGGCTTGAATGTGTGGATATCCTTCCATTTGCCAAAACCTAGTCTCATGGCTCCATCTGAACTGCAAGGGAGACTGATAAATGTTAGGAAGCTATCTGAACAGGAAAAGCAGATGGAACTAGTGAGCATCTAGCCCATCTCTACCACAGTCTACCTTTCTGGTCACCAAATATTCATGTTACGTTTCCACTCTCTCGTGAAAAATGATTATTACTTTCCAAGAGAGATAACTCAGAATTCTTTCAGTCACTGGATTTAGCTCAAATCTGTGATCCATGAAAACCTAATGACTCTTGGTTATTTATTGTCCTCATCAAATGATGATGATGGTGAATAAATTATCTGTATTTTGAAACCAGCTCCCAACATACAGATATACCCCATATACAAGAGAGGAGTAGGAAGAGGGAAATCACAATAAACATGCATGCTTGGAAAGACAAAGAATCAGATACACATTGCAATTAGAGGTGAAATCTTGCTGGACTGACAGTCTAAAGTCCCCTAAGCTAGAGGTCGAGGAGAATCCTTGAATAGGCTCTGACCCTGCTTGCTGGGAGACCTCCCTTGTCCATAGTTCGCTCCAGCATCTGCATATGCCCTCTGGGAAGTTCTTCCTTTTCTATCATTCTCCATATCCAACTTTGAAGGGCCTGTTCAGGGTTGTATAGGCTTAAAATAATTTTTCCTGTTTGGGAAAAAATTGGGGACAAAGAGTTGTTTGAAGTCCTAAATATTTCAAAGCTCCTAATTCTGAGATCATGGTATTTTAGTACTACAATTCTCTGAAATCTTAGTAGGGTTCTAATCTATTTGCTTCCCGATGGTCCACGTGCCTGGGAAAGTTCTTTTCTTGGATGCCCTTGCCTTCTCTTCTCCAATGTCTCTCTTTTAAGATCATACTCTTGAAAAAATAGGCAGAAAGACCACATCCTTAACATTATCTTTGTCCAGAGATACTTTATTCAACTGAGAAGTTTTACTGAGTGTCAGCTCTAAATCTCGTATTTGCCTTGAATCTCTTTATTCAAATGTAGATTTGTATTGGGCCTTTGTTACTCAACACCTGCATCAATGTCATGTCCCACTATTTGGGGTTTAGAAGAAGCCAGACATTTTGCCCAATAAGCCCTGAAACTTCTAGGTTCTCTCTACTGCCAGTCAGATTTGCTTTCACACTGGCTAATTAATTCCTGAGCCCTTGTTTCCCTTGTAACACCTTGCTGAATCTGACGAATAACAGTGAATATACATTATTAAGTTTTATTTTTCAGTCTATGTTGAGTGTTGCCAGCCAAGCAGGTCCACTGTCTGCCTCTCAAGTTAAATCAAATAGCACTTTTGCCAAGAGTTTTGCCAAAACGTCATGCAGACACATGGCTTTCTACCTTTGAAATCAGTTTCCCTGCTGCCCATTGTCCAACCATTAACTAATGCCGTGTATTTCAGATTTTTGTTATGGTAGCACAGGCTTTGGCTACCAATTTCTGTATTTGGATAGTTCTAAAAGTTGGGATACAGTCAAGAAAATAGAAACCACACCAGTAATTTTAACAGAGAGAATATGACATGGAAAATTATTAATCCGCTCTTAGAAAACTGAACAGTCAAAAAGGTACATAAATTTAGTAACTCTGAGAAGTAACAAACACCCAAAAGGAAGAGTAACCAAAGGAGGAGGCTAGTGTTATTTGAACCTAAAGGGCTAGAGGTGAGGCCCCTCAGAACTGCACCCTAGACTCCACGGAGAGGTGTTTCTCAGCCGCTGCAGGAAACTGCAGAGTTCAGAGGAGGGACCCTGAGGATCTAAGACCCAGACCCCTGAAGGGAATGTGCTTCGCTATCCTTATCTATTCAGATGGGAGGGAGGAGATGGTGTAATGAAGATAGTTCAGGGAGTGTGAAAAAAAAACTTGGAAAGTGGACCGACCCTCCACTGCTGACTTAAAGAAATGTTGCTGGGATGACACTAACAGAAACAGAGGGTAGGCAAGAAGGAGACTGTCCTTTCTCTCTGCTCCTGACTTCTAGTTCACTTTAATACTAGCATTGGCAGAACCTGACGAAGAGGTCAATGTCAAAGGAGAAATCTCATTTGAAGGCTCCAAGCTCCAGCATCTTGAGGTAGAATATAGAAGAATGGATTTAAAGCTGAGAGATATTCGCTTGGTAATCAGTACAGAAAATGAAGGATAGGAGCTTTAACAAATAAACTCAGAAACTTCAAAGGTTTCACATGCTAAAGATTTGCTTTTGCTCATGACTTAGTCTGATTCAGGTCATTTTCACTCTCCAACAGTGAATGCAAGGAACCCTGCTCCTCTCATCTCGTAGGGCTACTCCCTTAAACACAAGACCTCTGAGTTTGTCAGATAAAGGAAAGAATCTGAGTGGGTGATCATGGAGATACCTGGTTAGGCTTGGAAGTAGTATGTATCTCTTCTACCGGATGCTGTTGACTAGAAACCAATGACATACCCCAATGTATCTATTGGAAAGATGGAAATATAATTTCCTGTATGACCAGAATAGCAAAATTGGGAATATTTAGCTAGCTTCTGCCATAAATGCATTCCTTGTTTGAGAGGTAGCATTTTTTGTGCTACATTTCCATTTTGTGCACCCAGAGCATTTGAAATTTTCCCATAAAATCATCTCCCATCCAAAAATGATGCTATGAGGATGGTGACAAGAAAGAGGATGAGGATGATGGCTGATTATTATGTGCCAGGAGCTTTTCTAAGCGTTTTACACGTATTCTCATTTTTAATAGTCACAACAATCTGAAGAGATAGGTATGATCATTATTATCCCCATATTACAGAGAAGGTAATTGAGGCATAAAGTTAAAAACTTACCAAAAGTGACTTAGGCAATAACTAATGAAGCTGAGATTCCAACAGTCTAAATCTAGAGGGTCACTCTACCATGTCTCTCTTAGGTTGGGAATGGGAAAAACACAGTCACTATTTGAATTGCATACATTGGCTAACCACAAAGATTGTAAATGAGATAATAATACATTATAATGCGGCATAAAGACAAACAGGACCTTTTCTTTATAATCCCATGATTGTATGTATCTGTTAGATTATTCTCTGCTTTGCGTTGACTGATATATAAAT